TTACAACATTAGAAATATGTATTTGAATAATATTACGACAATATCTCGATATTTAAAATTTTCGACCATATCAAAATTTCTAACCTCAATATATTAATGAAATTCTAAGTTTGAAATGTAAATTTATGCAGATAAATGGAATTTGGACGTAAGAGTTAATTGCGTAAAAAAATTCACAATTTGTTTCAATTTGCATCGATAAAACAAGCGAATCGATAAGAAAGGACGAATTGAATTTTTCCATATTATAAATCTTTATTAATTCAATATTATTGCGAATTGGTAATATAACGAACGAACGTTTCGATATATCGCGTATCGTACGAGAAATTTTCTCTCACCGGTTAGAAGAATTGTGTTTATCGATATTTTTTTTACCAACCACCCAATCCCGGATAACGAATAAATTTTACTCCTTCCGGAGAGAGAATCGCAGAATTCTCATTTTTATTTTTATATCTCTACTTTTTCTCCCTTGTCGCGTTAATTATTACGCCGTGAATAAATACAATCATGCTTGGAATTTAATAGATTTCGAGATTAATTTGTCTCTCGGGCAATATTCATTGCACGATGCAAATACTGAAAGATTGATAGGAAAATGAGGAGAGAAGAGATACTCGAGGAGAATTCATTTCAATTTTGAAAGGATAATAGCATTAAATCGACAAAAGGAAAACACTATATAACATCGAAGGGATCTTCACGATTTATATATATATGTGTGTGTATGTGTGTGTGTGTGTGTGCGTGTATGTAAAAATATTTGCAAATTTTTTTTTATCAATTAATATATATTGATATAAGTTTTTTCACATTATTTCGAAAATTTGACAAAGAGGGTTTTAATTACGAGATATTCGAAGTCGTAATAATAATTTTTTATATTTTTTTTTTTTGATAAATCGAAGATTGAAAGAAAAATGAAAGTAAATATTTTTTTTTCTAATTTTAACGTTATCGATTCTTTACGAGGGACGTAGCGCGTATTTATCGATTTTTCTTTTATATTGGTCGAGGGAATAAAGTCAAAGGAAGGAAACGAGTTAAACAGAGCACTTGGAAAATCAATTTTATTTTAATTCTTTAGAAAGGTGCGAATATTCATTTTATACACGAAAGTTGAATGTTTTAAACTACTACTACATGTCGTTTGAAAATCAAAAATTTCAAAATGAAACTCGGAAAACTTTTAGAAAATTCTTTTATTCAGAAAGCAAAAAAATTTGTCTTTTTATGCTTCGTATAATAAATATATTTCCTTCTAAAAAAAAAAAAAAAAAAAAAAAAAAAACGATTTGAAAAGTGTTAAAAAATTTGGAAAAAGATCTTGAGAATTTTTTTCATGAGATTATGAGGTAAACGTCTCTAATCATATTTATCATACATATTTTTAAATAGAATTTTCTTAAGACCTTTATGAACTCTATTCCCTCGACCCTTGACGATATATAAAGCTTTTCAATAAGCAAAGACATTACATTATATCTTTCGAGTTATCTTTCGCGTCATCTAGAACTTTCATTGTTGAGCACGCTAAAAATATAACATTAACATAGTCTGTCTTGTTTTCCGTATTCTATGACATCGCATTAAGGATGGAACGAGTAGAATGCATAACATGATATAAATAGTTTGCGTAATGCATCATGAGCTATCTTTTTGAAAATTATTATACGACTAAAGATGTTTCTTCTTAGGTATATGATTTAAAAGAATTTTACAAAGAATATTTTTTCTTATATATTTTTTTTTTTAAATGAAAGAACATACGTGTCATTTATCTAATTATCTATCTAAATTTTATTTAAAAATCTGATAAAAAATTATCAAAGAATGTAAGATTTTTTCGAATTTTAAATTGATTTTTTTTTTAAATTGTTATTTATAGGTTAAGAAGAACTGTCACATTAGAAGTGTCACATTGTTACATGTTAAAAGTATAATTTGGTTTAAAATTAAAATAATGCTTATATATGCGATATCTTTTGATCTTTTAAACGTATTTGATGATATTGATATCGATACGTAATCAGAGCAGTTTCTAATTTTGAATATATTGGTTGGTTTCCAATTAATCTCATTCCAACTCATAATACGATTTTCGTTTCGTTGAAATTTAATATTATCGATATCTGTTGATTGTGAAAATACAAGGTTTCCAGCTAAATTTTCTTCATATTTAATCCGAATTGCAATAATTTCGATCAATTTGTCGCAATAACAAGTCTCTTCGTAACAAAATTTCAACACATAAATAACAAGACGACTTCATACATGTGTAACTAACTTCAGGCAGAAAAAGTAACTAGATGTAACTAAATTAAATTTTTCTTATCGACCATTAACCTCTTTTTTTTTATTAAAAAAAATAAATAAACAATAATTCGATTATATCCCGAAAATAATTATTTATTTAGAAATTTACTTTTAACGTAATAATTTTAATTCTTAACATCGCTTCAACTCCTTGCCCTCCTCTCTCTAAAGAAATTTCCAATCAAGAAATGGCCCATTTAACAGATTAAAACGATTCGAACAAATACATTATGCGAACGATTTAATACGAGAATTGAGAAGAAGACGTAACATTGCAATTTTTCTCTTCATCTTGTGCACGACAAACAAAATTCAATTAAAAAAAAAAAATATTCTCCCTTTCTTCTTAAATAAAGATACCACGCATTTATCGCGTCTTTTATCGTTCTCTCTCGACGTACCTTTAAAGATATTTACCGACCGATTTTTTTGCCAGCCGATAGCGATACATTACCGTGTCAGGATGGATCGAAATGGAAGAAGAGAAAAAGCACTTGTGATTTTTACCTCGTACGAAAAAAAAAAAAAAAAGAAAAAAGGAAAAAAGAAAGAAAAAAATTTATGGAGGGATTGTTCTATATATAAATTTTTCAGTCGCTTTGAACGCTGCATTTTATTCATTCGTAGCAAAAGTCCAAGGGCGAGCTGGTCTCAAAATGAGAATCCATTTCGAATACGGATGCGAAAATAGTAGCTGGAAATATTGTCGTTTGAAAAATTGTTTCACCGACCGCCCGCTTTGATTTTTCGTTTAAAATTTACTTTTTTAACCGTGACGTGAATTGTTCATGATTTTATTTTTTTTTTTTTTTTTTTTTGAAAAATTAATTTAAATTAATTTCAAAGTACGTAATTACGTACAAAGTACGATGTTAATCTATCTTTTTCTGAATATCTTCTGTAAATTTTCTGTCATTATTTTATACTACTTTCAATCTAACCATCTATCAATGAACAAACCACATCACGATCTTAAACCTTAAGTAGTAAGAATTGTACAAACCCTATGAAATTAAAAAAAGATTCGAAGCGTCATTCTGGATTAAAGAAGTCACGTATATAGAAACGGGTATTAGGAAACTTTTTCCATCGAAGAAATTCTCAATTGTTGAAAGACAGATGTTGATCCACGTTGATCCGCGTGCCCGATATTTAATAATATTATTGATCTCTAACTGATCCTGGCCGATCATTTTGTTTCCAGATATTAAAGAAATCGAGGTGAACAGTCGACTCGTGGAAAAAGAAAAAGAAAAAGAAAAACGTAAGTGTGCGAAGAAGAAACGATCTTTGGTGAAAAGAATAATAATCCTTAATTGCCCTTGGAATCTTTAAGTAAGTTTGATCATTTTAATTGAAATACAACAATTTCAAATATTCATTTATCAATCAATTCAATCTTGATCCCTCGACGAATTTAAGCGAAATCCGATCTAATTAATAATTAAAGATAACGATTAACGTTGATACAACGTGATAATGGTTATTCATACAATGGTGATTAATATTTAACGGAAAAAATCGAAGCTGATTCAATCGGAATAATCGATCGTTGTTAATTATTATGATTGTACTTTCAGCAAACAATCAAATATTATCGAGAAAAAAAATTGATTAACCATCCCCAAACGATGGACATTGTTTGCCAAAAAGAAGATCGACTATAATCTGGAACCACGTTTATTTCCTTTCTTCCTTATATTAATTCGAAAAATATTGCGGTCAGAAGAGTATTGATCTCTACAGACGAGACCTCTTTCAATATTTTTTTAAACGTGAAATGTCCCCTTAACGTGCCGAAAAGAAGAAAATTAAGTATTATATATAGATGGGTAAAAAATATGAAATAGAATTGGGAAAGGAATAAGAAATAAAGAGAATGTAAAGGTAGAATATAAATGAAGGTATGTATAATAGAAAAACATAAGAATGATACAAAGGAAATGTGTTTGTGTGCGTGTACGTGTGTGTGTGTGTGTGAGGGAGAGAGAGAGATATGTGTAGAAAATTGTATCAAAATTGAAAACGTGGAAAGAAAGCATTTTTAATCATACTTTGAATAAGAAAAGACTTAGGTTTTTTTTTATGTAAAATATTAATTTGATATTAGTTATTATAAGATGATTTAAGATGCCTTTAAATCCTTTAAATCTTGTTAAAGAATGCTTTTGTTAAAGAGATGGTCATTAACTATTAAATTTATTAATATTAAAATACGTTAAATGAGGTATAAAGTGCCAGATAAAATCCTCAAGTTTTTATAACATTAATTCGATAAATTATATCAGCATTAGCTCGAAATAAAATAATCAATTGAAAATTTTGTATCAACGTTTAATTATTTGATTATAATATTTACAATATTTACAATTAAACAAAACAATTAACAAAAATGTTTTCTATACAATTTTCATCGTGATTCATTATTGAGTGTTTTAATTAAATATTGTTCTTTTGCAATATAATTATATTCCTTGTTCTTAAAGAAAATTTAAATATATTATTATTAATGATGTTTTCTGTTTTGTAAAAAATTAAAATTTCTCAATTTTATTAATAATTTTTTACATTCAAACTTCAGAACTAAATTATCATAATCATTTAAATAATCATAAAAATAAAACTAATCGAATAAAAAATGAAAATAATGTAAACAATTTTACAGAGAGAAAAATAACAGGAACCTAAAAGAATAGAGAAACTATACCAGAAAAACAAACGAAAATATAATCAAAGAGGAATAAACGATTCTCCAAAAAAGAAGGAAAAGAAGAAGAAGAAAATTGGAGTTGAAATGGTGCAAGCGTGACGAGGCAAGTGAAACAAAGTGTAATATTTACATACCAATCTTATGAGAATGAAGAATGAGTTGATGCATAGATATACAACTGGAACGTGATATCTCGATCATTCAACCCAAACCAAGCTCAACTTCATTAAGACCAAACTAACAAAAAAAAGAAAAAAACAAAAACAAAAACAAAAAAATGATGTAAACGAATTTACAAAGGGAGAGAAAACTAGAAAATCAACGAAACACTGGCCATCTATAGAGAGAACAACCAATCAACAGTACACGATTCTCCCTAAAAAAAAAAAAAAAAAGGAATCACAAAAAAAAGACAGACGAAACAAAACATAATACATACCAAACTTGCGAGGATAAAAAGTGAATCGAATAGATGAAGACAAAAGAAACAGTGATGTGACCCCAATCACTCACCCTAAACCAAGGTCGAATTCATTAAAACTAAACCAAAAAAATCAACCAAGTAAAAAAAAAGTGAACAAACTTAGAAAGACAGAAAGAAAAGAAAGAAGAAAACTGAACTGATTGATACACAGAACAAACAGGCAAAAGTATACCCTCCCGAAAAATATTCCCCTCCCTCCTCTTCCAAAAAAAAAAAAAAAAAAAGAAACTCGAAGGAGTGCAAACGTGACAAGGCAGGTGGAACAGGGCGCAGTACGAAGCAACTCTTATGGAGCAGCAGTAGAGAGTGAGTTGAACCGGAGATAAAACAGAGAGACAAGGGGAGAAGAGAGAGGATATAATGGTGGCGCATGCTCCCCCTAGTTGTGCACGTATTGTAGAGCAGGCAGTTGCCCTCGTCGGGTCCAGGTACACGCGAAAATCCATATCGACGCTCTGCACCGTCTCCTACGGCCGTTGACAGAGGCCACGGACAGAACCCGTCCGGTCGCCGCGGTTCACCGTCGCGACGCAGCTTCCTCGAGACTTACGCGCCGATCCTACGCCCGGAGGTAGGCTCTTGCACCGCTTCGAAGCACGTGCCACTGCCAGTCGCGTGTCACTGCTCGCCGGCGGACCAACGCGGAGCGGATCTCTCCGTCAGAAAGGGAAAGGAGAATTTCACATTTAAACGAGACGATGTGATGACTTTTACGAATAGTAATCATTGTTGCTTTGACGAAGATAATTTAAAGTTTTTTTTTTTTTTTTTTCGAAAGGAAGAAACGTCGAACGTTGGTGGGTGTTCTCACAGAGAATTTTAAACGCATTATGAAGAGGGATTTGGATGCAATTGAAAAAGAAACACGTGTTTTGAACGTCGCGCACGTATACCAATATCCAAGGAAGAGATGTCTAGGAACAATTCGAAAGAAGTGAATGGACACATTTTGTATATCCATCTATTATGTTCTATTATAATATATAAATAGTATATATATTCAGTTACTTTGTTTTAAAAGGAAGAAAAAAGAGAGAGAGAGAGAGAGAGATATTTAGAAGCAATTCTAAGGATATTATTGAAGAAGAATAATCGAAGAAAGTTATCGACGATATCGATAAATATTTTAATTACGAGAATATTATTTATTAATATTATTTATAATTATTCTTGAAAAAGTTGATGGAAAGAGATAATTAAATAAATTTTTCGAAAGTATTTTTCGAACATTTCAATAGAGACATAAAAGATTCGAAGGAGGATCCTTTTATTTCTAAACAAGTTCCTTTGTTTCCGAAGAAACAAAAAAAGTAATTAGAAACGACTCAAAAGAACTTGAAACAGCAACATATGAAACCCCTATGAAAATAAAATTTCAAAGGACATTACATTATAATAAACGGAATTGGAAACAAACGCAGAAAAAGCTCGAACACTTACTTAGATAGAAATATAAATAAATAACAGAGCTTTCAAACATCTAAACCGTATCCATTGGAAAGTTCACCGTGATGGAGGAATAGCATTTTAAAGGAGGCGTACGTCGACTTATTCCATCGGGGCCGATAAACGTAGAAACTTTGAGGGCCGTCTTAAAAAAAGAGGAAAAGCCAAAGATTCGAGAGAAATCCCCGAAAGAAGAATTTCAGAAGATCAAAGTTCCTCGGAAGTTTTCTTTCTCCTTTACGTACAGAGCAGAAGAAAAACAAAGGAGAAGAGACCGCGAGATGTATAAATTTATACGTACAAATTTCTAAATCAATCACGGATCCTCGTCATTTTCCTCGTAAAAAAAAAGAACGATATTTCGAGAGACACGATCAGCAGAGGCAGAGCGGCGGAATGGACGAAGTTTTGAAACTCGTTTACGAAGCTCTATCGACTATTGATTACAAGGGACTCTGAACTTCTCGAGGTTCGCCTCGAGCTGGAGAGAGATCGCGATACGACCCTCCTTGTGTCGTTCCTCCTTACGAGTCGAGTTGAAATCAAGGGGGAAGGGCGGCGGTGCAAAGCGCTAACCAAGAGGAGCTCTCGAGCACCTTTTTCCCCGCGGTGCATCGCATAGCGATCTGTCTCTCGATCGAAACACCAGTATCGGTTCTCGACCATATCTCGAACTCGCCCTTTTGTGTTTCGTGGCTTTCCACGCGGTCCTTGCGTTATGCCAACGCAAGAACAATAGAGGGATTGAAGATCACGTTCAACTGTTAACGCTCGATCCACAGACAGACGTCATCATCACGGTTCGGTAATTGGATCTCGAGTGGTTTGTCTAATAGCTGTCGAGTGCCACTTCCGACCGTTTCCCCGATCGATCCTCTTCGTTTCAATTAATTCTATCTAGGATTAGACGTTAGAAAAGGCGGCACGAGGATGCATATATATATATAGTCGAATAAATAGAAGAAATCTCTCGAAAAGAGCGTTGACAAAGGATAATCCAAAAACAGGGAGAGGCAAAAACAAGAGAAGTTTTCTTTTCGAATATATATATATATATATATATCATCGAGTGATATCAAGAACTGTAATTCAATGGACCTACCAGGTTTTCCCCTTTCGATGAACGCTTAGAACGCGCAGAAGAAATTGTTGAGCAAGTTTCTCTGTAAAGTTTCTCTGTGGCGTAAGGATATATTTCAAAGGGATATCTCCTCCTTCGCTTTGACGAAGGAATTCAATGAACACCGAATCCGATGAAATCGACCTCCGATTTCCAACTATTTGTAAAATAATCCCGCGAAAACTTTGTTCCATTCGTAAGTGACGTAAATCGAAATAGAAGAGGTGCGTGTATATAATATAGTAATAATATGTATAATAATAGTAATGTAAAAATTCGATAAACCTTTATTATCACGTTTCTATACGGATAGGAATCGCGTGTGTAAAGATTAAACGTTGTTGTTCAAAGATTAAACATTCCTCTCCCCTCCCCCCTCCTCTCTTCTCCCTGTATTTGCCTTGGTTTGCCTTGCAACCGAAGGACTTCCGGAAAGGAATCCCTCCTCCCGAGGATTATATCCCCCCTTCAATGGCCCAAGGATCTTGGAGGATCGACGAGGCATTTAATCGTGGAATCGACCGGCGATCGATCGAAAATATCTTCGTTTCCCGAGGAGAACAACGAGTAAAACAATTGCGACCGATCGGTGAAAAAAAGTAGTGTGCCTCTGTCGAGGAGATCGAGGGCGTGTTTCCTCCTAAAGGGAATTAAATTTTCTCTTGATCGATCAGAGATATCCACAACCTGCCAGATCAACGTCTGGCACGCGAGATTACATTTCATGATTGCGAAACGCGAAATCGTGAGTTCGAAATCTTTTTTTTAACATTCTCGAATCACGATTGCGACGATATCACGATTGTGATATACCACAAGAAGATATTAAGATTGGAAAGAAGAATGTAAACGAATCAACGTGGATCTTGGAAAATTTTACTTTGAAATCATTTAATATTGAAAATATTAAAACATTTCGTCGAGAAAGAGAAATTTTCTTTAACGAAAATTCCGAGAAAACGATATAGATTGTAAAATCGATAAACGTTAATTCTTCTTCGACTTTGCTCCTCCGTATCCTTTCTTCCGAAAAGACGAACGAACGAACGAACGAACGAACCCGATCGGAGAAGCGAAACGTTTCGGTTCGCGATTAGGAAGGAAGCATGAGCTGGGAATCGAGCAATGAGACTGTTCTCGACAACGGTAATTACGTGCTGAACACGTTGCATTATATCAACAAATTGAACGAGTCCGTGAACCCAGAAGCGATCGAGTGTCTGGAACGTAAGCATCAGGAGGAGTTGCAAAGGTTGTCATTGGGGATACTGGAGGAGGAACAACAGGGGTGTGAGATCAGTTGGGACTCTTTATTGTGCTGGCCGAGGACACCTCCTGGAACGTTGGTCACGTTACCCTGTTTCGATGAATTGAATGGAATCCGCTACGACAGCACCCGTGAGTAACGAAATTTCATTTCACATCGATATCACTTTAAAATTATCAATTCGAAATTTTTTTTAAATGAAATATTCATTTTTTCGTTATTTAAATGGTTGATATTGAACGTCTGCATTAACGAACGAAGCATTTTTTTTTATTCTGAATATTTGAAAAATTTTCTATTCGAAAAATTTTATTCGAAAGAAAAAGAGGAAGATATAAGAAGATATTATATAAATATTTAAAAAAGAATTTGAAAAGAATCTATATGAAATTGCCGCGAGGGATTTTTTTTGGAGATAATAATTGGTGGTTGCTCTTTTCTAAAATAGAAGCGCGAGATTTATAAAAATATTTGAACGTTAATAATCGTGTAATTTATTCAGATATTAAATAATTATTCGATTTCATTATATAATATTTGATTTGATGAATGTTCAGATCAGTGATTAGGATTTTAATGATGTTAATAATTGAATTATATAATTCAACTTTTATGTAATATTCAAACATTGTTTATATTAACAATGAACTTTTTTAGATTTAATAGATTTTATAATCAATTTTTTATAAACTCATAAATCCAGGGTTTAGGGTTTTATTCTTTAAATTTTATATTTTGTAAACAAGTTTTTCCATTTTTCATCCGCTTGTATATTCAGTTTTGAGATCGGGAATGATTCAGGTATAAATCAGGTTTATCCTTCGAATTCATTTGAATTTCATTTCTATCTTTGTCTCGGGTAACTAATTTTCCTATAAAAATTCGATTTTTTTAAAAAACTCATTTCAAACTGCAATTTCTAATTATAACGTTCCTTTATAACCATATTAATATTAGGAGAAGATGTTTTCATTAGTTTAATAGTTGCACGAGGGTACGTAGGGAATTAAAAATGTATATACGATAATATTGTAACACTGTAACAGAGAAAGGAAAAATTTCAAATAAAATTAATTAACCGTCCATTTTATGAAGTAACTGTCCGCTCACATAATTAATAACCACGTTTAGTGAACGTTCACACGATTCATTTCACTCTGGATAGAAATTGATAATCCGACAGAAAATATTATCCTTCAGAAATTGAATTTCTGTTCCATCTCTTCCGTTTATCCTTAAGAAAGCAAATGTTCCTTTAATCGAAAATTAATGATCGAATTTTTGAAAAAGAAATTTTTTAAATTCATCCCTTCGATAATCAAATTTTTTCCAGTATTATTTCTTTTTTAATTTTTTTTTTTTTTTTCTTTTTAATCGATCCAAGTTTATTATATCAAGTTTCTTTAATATTGACGAAATTCTTTGATATCATTGATTAACTAGAATTAGGATTCAATCTGTTTTTATTCGAGCTCTTTCAAGCTCAAAAGATTAAGGAAAGATTGATAAGGATTCGGATCATCGGATTTAAGGGGAAAGATTTGAGACCCGTTGTTACCGAGTCTTCCCTTCCAAATGTATTCATATCGATTCTCGAATTCTCTGACGATTTTTAGTATCAGAATATATTATAGATTTTTTTCAAATTCTTTTTTAAATATTTTTAAATATAATATCTTTCTCTTTTTTTTTCAATAAAATTTTTCAAATAGAACTATTCAAAATAAAAAAAAAAATGCTTCGTTCGTTAATACAGACGTTCAATATCAACTATTTAAATAACGAAAAAATGAATATTTCATTTAAAAAAAATAAATAAACGATATACTTTCTATCCTTCAAAATTTTTTCATAATTGGCTTATAATCGTAATTTATATTATTTAATTAAAAAGAATCTTAATATCTATAATATAATAGATTCGAAGAAAAATATTTTATTCATTTCATGATAACAAAGTATTTTTTCCATCTCTCAACATTTTTTCATTCTAAACAATTGACTTCCAAGAAATCGTATAATTGAAAATAATCTTATCAATATTTCAATAGATTTAAAAAAACAAAACGAAAAAAAAATCGTAATACTTTTAGTTTGTAATATCATAATGTTTGTCAAATTTATTCATTTCCTTATTCGTTTCCTCTATAATAAACTTAAAATCAATCATAAATGAACCATCCCATCTAAATTCTTATAGGAATTGTTGGCTGAATATAAAATGCATTCACCATTTCTATGAATCTTTACAATTGCATCGTTGAAATTGTTGTTGGCGTGAGGAAACATAAATAGGATCTTATCTTCAACAAAAACTCGAGGATTTTAAAGTGATCATTACCAGAAGTCGTGAAACAGTCATTATATCGGATTTAATTAAATCGTTTAGCAATCGCGACCTTTCTTCATTTCTATATATCTTCTAAATATATATATATATATATATATATATATATATATAATCTTTCTTTTATTCCATTTTTTCTTTATCCTCTTCGAGAAAAAAAAAAGAAGTACAATAGGATGTGTTATCTGTTTGTAGCAGTATGCTTTATTCGAAATCGCATGCAATTTCATCCATCTATCGTAACATGAAATGAAAAAACAACAGGGTTCGTGAACTCTTTTGATGAATGTTGATACTTGGTAAATAAATATATCGTTTGTAAATAAATGAAATCAATTGGAAAAATATACAAAAGGATTTTTTTAACAGGATTGGGATTTGACGTTGAAATTTTGGGAATAAAAAGCCAGTTTTTTTTTTTTAAGTATTTGTTTATGAAATTAAAGATTTAATTTTTTCAAACGAAATGATAAGGGTAATTTTTTAAGGATAACAAAATTTTGAATGAAACTATTTTTAGGTAAATGACATAAATTGCATATTAAAATGAATAAAGAAAGTATAATTCTATTGAATGAACAATTTGAAATTTCATGTTTAATATGAAAAAAATTGAATGAAAAAAAAATTGTCAATAGAAATCGAAATGCATAATTTTAAAAGAATCCAATATAAAAGAAAATGTATCTCTATTGAATTAGGATGTAGAATTGAAATTTCAAAAGTGACTGATAAATTTTATTGAAGGGAATGATTATATTGTATAATTTATAAAACAGATTAAAAAAATCTCAATTTAAAATTTCCATTTAAAAATAAAATAATTTTATTATTTTTAAATAGTTAAAAAAAAACTTGCAATTAAATATTTATTTGTTACATGTTAAAATATAGGAAAGATGTAGAAAATGAAAGATAGAAAAACATGTTAATTATATGTTACTGATATTGTATAATTTCATTGATTGAACGATTCAGAGTTTTCTGTTTGATGTGAAAGAAAATTATCGACAGAATGTGGAAAAAAGTATGGAATTGTTGTATTTGATCGATCTATCGAAAAAACTGCAACAAAACTCGTTCTCTGTATACGTAATAATACAAATATCACATAATTCAGCGAAAAATTGAAAAAAAAAATAGATCCATCTTCTTTACATTGTTCCTACATGAAATAAGCGCATAAATTATAATTATATTGTTGTTGAAAAATAAATCAAGTATTGAGAAACATTTGTAAAGCATTCAAAGTATTTAAAAATACTAATTATTTTGTTACGATAAAAATAAATTTATGGAGAAAATATTTTTTTTTTCTTTTCTTCTTTAGAACATAATTCGAAACTAGCGTTATATGATAATTGCATTTGTGTTTTATTTCTTTTTGTATCTTTATTTGTCAATGAATATTTTAGGTTATGTTATCTTTCTCTTCTTTTATCCAAGAAAATGTATGCACATACCTAAACTTATATAAAAACTATCATATGGATTCTGCAAAAATTTTCAGTAGAAATATAAAATCTTCCTTTTATAAATTTTTTCAAAATTTGTTGCAAAGTTTGTTCCAATAGTTTCGAATTTTTAACATTGTGTGTCAATCATGTTTGATGATATATGGATTTTTCATTTATCATTTTGATTTTCAATATTTTCAAAACTCAATTCTTTTTTTATTTATTGAATTTGTTATCGAATTTCATTTTGGATTTTCAATTATTTGTTAATTCATATGGTCAATTACCATGTTTTCAATCTATAATTTTTATCGTCAATTTTGTTTAATTTTTCATTGTTCAATATAATTTTCCGTCATTAATCTTCATTTCATCAATTTATACAGTACAATGTTCATTTGATGATCTCAAATTTAAAAACATTTCATAAATATCAAACTCTACAGTTTTTTGATTTTGAATCGTAAATTAACCTGTTACATAAAGTATATCTGTTCGTCTTTTATTTCCATAAAACCTTTTGGATGGATATTCAAGAAATATTGTATGTATAAGAAAAGTTTTTAATGTAAAAACTTGAAAAGATAATAAAATCATATCTTTTTTATGTTTTCATCATTACATTTAAAAAAAAAAATGAAAAATATTAAAAGACATTGCTATTGTATTGGTAATTTTTTTTCATAGTATTAATTACAGATACTTCGGTAATAAAACAATTAAATTTTTTCAAATAATCTTATATAGAAAGAATAGTTACATGTTATCTGAATATTACAGTAGAAATTTGCAATTAAAAAATAAAAGAGAAAACATTGTCCTAGAATATCCTAGATTATTCAAATCCATGCAATCTAACCTCAAAACTTTTTTCTCCATTATCATCCAACCTCGCATCCAATATCCACCTTGATCGAACGACTAAACGAAAGCCATGGAAAAACATTTTCCTAAATGTCTTACGCGTTTAGGTCGACATAATTTGAATTCTCCAGTTCAAAAGAAATCCTTTTGCGTGCGAGTACCGCTTGAAGGTAATCTTATAAAGGAACTAAGCAGCGTAGAAAACGGGAATAACGATCGCTTTAAAAATTGCTTCTCCTTTTGTTTTTCTTTATTACGATCGATTACAATCGATGTATCCCAACGCTCGTATATATCGTCACGTTTCTGACATAAGAGTAACTTCCATTTTAATGATATACTTATTTTTTGCAACGCACAATTCGTAAAACAGTCTTACGCACGAGTTAATGCCTTCACAGGAATATCAAATCTCGATTTATATACGAATGTATCAAGATTTTTTTGGTACATATACATATGTACGTATTCATCTCGCGAAACGCGAGTTATATCTAATCCATGTTCGATCCAGAATCTATGATTGGGTGGATTTTCAATGTTCGATGTCGTCCATTATTGACAAACGATAATTGAAACAAAAAGATTTTTCTTTTTTAATCTTGATTTTTCCTCTATTGTACTTATTTGTCATTGGAAATAGAATTTAAAATAATTCAATATTCTAATATTCTTTTAAGAAAAATATTATTATATTTTTTTGAGTAAGAGTTTAATATAATTATATATTAGCGATAAAAACAAATATTCAATATTGATGACCTTTGCATTATTTTTTATAAAAAAGTCGACCACCTACCACTATAATAGCGATTAATCAATCAGTAATGAAAAGTCGCCATTATTATATGCCTTTGGGCAATGTTATTACGTTATCAGAATTTTCAAACATTGTTATATGTCAAAGTGTAATATAAGTATTGACTAGAACAGATATAGATTTTTTTTATAAAAATACTTTTTATTCTTATTATTTTATTCATTTCAAAACAAATATTATTAAAAGATAATACAAACTAAAAAATTATAAATTTTATTTTCAAAAGTAATTAAAAAATATATGAATTTTATATATGACATATAAGCATATTTTAATGTACATATATATTTAACGTATATACATTCATGAGCTATGTCAAATAAAAAGAAAAATAGAGATAAGTTAAAACAAAATTCATTAAGATTTCATAGAGGAAAATTGTTACAAAGAATGTATCATAATTCGTTGTATTTTTTCCCTTAGAAATATAGCTTATAATTTTTAAATATTTAATTTCGGTTCTATTGAAAATTGTAACTAAGAATTCTATACAAAAAATTTGAAATTCAATTCAATAAAAATTTATAAAATTTGGAAAAATAGGTAGGTAAACAAATTAGTGATATTGAACAAATTATTAAAGAACATTTTATTGAATAATGCAAATTAGAAAAATATTTTCATGTTTTCCATTATTCCAATAACTACTAATGACTAGATTTCGTTTTTAATAAAGAAAGAAAAGCGTGATTGTATACGATACGAGGTTAATTATAAAAGTAACCGATCGTGCAGCTTGGTCGCGCCATTTAAGATCAAATTACATTAGCATCGTGTAATGTCAGTGGAAAATAAATTGTGGCCACTGTGTATTCCTTATTCTGTTAGCACTACAGACTTTCGCAAATACATGGTTACTGTCTTTCAATGAATATTCATGATAAGGATTTGAAAACCATTAATGCTATTGACACTCTCTTCATGAATTAATTTAATGAATTATACTCTCTTAATGAATTAATTTTCGTCTGAGGTGATCAATTTTATTGTATTATGAATAATTACGATTTAAGAAATCGATTTTCATTATTATATATTGTTTTTTTATTGTTCAAAGATTCTGATTCGAATTTGTTTTTTTTTTCGTTTCTTTAATTAGCTAAAAATCTAATTCTATGCATGATCAATATTCTAACCACGAGCACACTTTTCGAAAGACTAGTCGAACACGACAGGAAATCAACGAACATTTCAATCATTATCAAACACTCCATGTAATTCTCTGGAATCGCAACGAGGGAGTTTCACTGGTTATTTCCCCTGATTTATAACGCCTACACACGATATTCATAAACGTAATAGATCTTGTATGTTGTTATTTCATAGTTATCGTATATTATTTTAAAAAATAGATAACTAAATTTAAAAAAGGTTAGATAAACACAATCCTTGCTAAAGTACATTTTTTTATCATGATATATTTCAATTTAAGTTAATCTATATATTTGTAATTTAACTCTTTTGGATTTGTGAAAATAAAAACTGTAATTTATAATAATAATACTATTGTATTGTATTATTCTTTTTACATTCACTATTAGGAAGATTTACACGGAACACAATTCCCATGAGAAAAATATCACACATTTTTTTTTCTTCCTAACCTTCATAGCATTCAAAACACAAAGTTTCTAGATAGTATTACTGATGAATTTATGCTTCTTTTTTTTCTTCTTTTTTTCTTTGTTCTTTCTCTCTTATTTCCAATAATCCAGTATCCAGGAACTACATAAAATTAGAATTATTATTATACAATTATACAATTATACATAATTATTATACAATGATGAAAAAATTTGAAATAAATCAAAAACTTTTTAACCTCTTCGATGATCTTTAAATTGATAATCAAAAAATTAATCTTTTATTTTTGAAATATTTTATGTTTGATTCTTTAATTCTGAAACGCCTTGTATTCGTATACATGCACGCTCATATAGTAGAGTATATATTACTTACATATATGTCATGAGAGGAATAATATAATGGTGGGCAAATTGGTCGAGCTTTACGGCGCCATTATACATTCGATGGTGAAACGGTAAAAGCAAATCTTGGTTACGAAACGTGTCGCGTCTGAAATTCCTTTTGCTTGCCTATGAATGTTCGATTCATTCACCACGATTCAACAAAAAAAAAAAAATAAAGGAATTTTATCGAACGATTCCAATGGATTGGAATTGAGAGGGTGCTTTTGATCGCCTTTCTTATTATACGTACGATCCGTTTCAAACATACCACGTGAATACGGAATATCGAATACCATTGGTGAATTCATAAGATAGATTCTACAATGGAATGATTATTTTCATTGCATTAATCGTTGTTTTAAAAATATCATAATCTACATACATTTGAATTTAGCGACTTTTTCATGTATGATTATGTGCAGAAGTTTGTGGCTTGTTTAAATTAATTATGATTTTGTAACGTATGATTCTCAATTTTGAAATATAATTTTGTCCTCAACTTTATTTTAAAATTAAAAAGAACGTATAATAAAATAATAAATGTAATTGATTTCTTTTATTAATTATGATTTTAATTATGATTTTAAAATATAAAAAACATAATCGACAAATGTTTCGAAGAAAATTTTTAAATTTTTAGTTTCCGTGAAAATAAAATAATATTTTCTATTATCGTAAATTAAAAGGTTGACACATTCATACGCCATAAATAATATATGAATATATCTGGTTTAAACTTTTCGAAAGCTATTCATGATAACCTGTGAATCTAATTGGTCCCACCGATGCGTGAAGTTATTAACTCTAACGTGATCAAAATGTTTCGAGTTCTCGAAACTGAACACCTTTTCATTTTCCACGTTGGTACCTGTCGTATAAATTGATCAGAGTTTTATTGTACATCAGTGTCATGAAAAAGTTATAAGAAAAATAAGAGAGGTTAAAAATTTTGATTTATCGAATTATAATTATTTGCGAATATTAAATAATAAATTTTATACAATTCGTGTAGTGAATACAGAATTAATGAATATTAGAATTAACATTGCATTCAGATATTATATAAACATGAGTGAATATAGATGAAAGCTTCCTTCAACGTGATCAAGTTTCGAAAAAGTTGAAACTTGAAAAGAAATATCTCTCATAGAAATAGCTATATAAGAATTAATTTCTCTTTTTAAAATATTTAAAGATTATATATACAATTTTTATTAATTTAATTTTTATTTAATATATGATTTTTGTTGAAAAATTTATTTGAACTCACAATTTCTTCCAATATTTTTTCAATATTTCTTTAAATATTTTCCATTGAGTACTTTTTCAATATTTCATTCAAAATAGAAATATTGCAAAATTTATTATTTATACAATTTTCTTTACTTTTAATCAAAAATTTCATTAAAGTCTTCATAAAATAATTCAGGATTACATTAGATAAGGTTATAATAACAAAAAGATAGCAGCAGCATACAAAAATTACATCACGAATTTTAAATTCTTTCCATGTGAAACTTGTTGATAAGTTTTCCTTGTATTCTTCACGGTGTCCTGTCGAATCGATTTTCAATTTAATACTCGCGACCAGACAAATCCAATTACGATCATCGACCTGTCGAGGCTTTTATCTAACGTATTCAAATCCTTCAAGAACACATTGCAACTTTATTTTTTCTTACCGACTTATATCGTTAGCATAATTAATATTTTTCATTTATAATATATTCATAATAAATACTTGAAAACGTGTATACAGGATTATTCTTTGACATCACACGATTTCCATCGAATCTATCATAGTTTTTCGTATCGATAAAACCTTCGTTCAAGAATTTTAAATATAATTTTAATGTATATGATTTTAAAAAATGATAATAAGAATTAATAACATTGTCAGAATTATACAATTATTAAAATGATAGATTTTTGTGTTTTTCTAAAATTATAAAAAATATAACAAAAAAAAAATAATAATTTGTCAATCTATTAAAATAACAAATTTCAATTTTTTCTCTAAAAAATAATATAGTTTGATATGAGAAGCGAGAAAACCTATATTTCCAAGAAAATTGATTTTCACATAAAATAAACAAACATTCCCCAAGACATGAATTTATACATTTCTATTCAGGCTTATACCTAAGTATACTTAGTATACATAATGTTATGCCAAGTTAAGTTAGTGTTGCTCAAGAAAATATTGTTTAATCCACTATTCAAACGATAATCTTTAAAAAAAATTATTATAAGTATTATTATTTAAAAGATTTAATCTCTTGACTTTGCAAATTTTTTTTTAGCTAAAAAAAGAAAGATAATTATTTTATAAATTTTTCCATCAAGAAAAGATTCAAATCTGTCAATTTTATTAAAAAAGGATGGAAAATCTTGGAAAGTTTTCAAGCTAAAACTTTTAACAATCCTAATTCGATGATTAAAAAATGTATTTTTTACGGTATCCATGGTATGTACAAATTTGCTAACAAGTTCCGTCGAGCTAAGTTTTAATGAAATCGATTTCGAAATCTATATCTTGTAATACAAAAGAAATTAATATGAATATTTCATTCCACATTGTCAATTTATTTTTACGATAAGCATTAAACACTTTCTTGACATTTTACGATGCGCATAGTTACATTTCGCGAAGCGGCAAATTAATCGAAACGTGTCTCGCTACTAAAAGTAATTTTCAAAAAGGAAATTTTATGGTAACCTAGAAAGTTTGAGATGACGAAGTTAATTCAGTTTAAAGTTTGAAATGGTTGCACATAACTGGACGCAACTTTGTACTATTTATCATTCCATGCAAATAATTTCACTATCATTTTCGTAATATGATAAAAATAATAAATTACATAGCAATTAAAAAATTATTTGATTAATTTTACAATCTGTTTTTCATATTTTTAATCTCGTGAACATAAAATAAAAAAAAAATACATATATATAAAAATAGAAATAGTATAAAAAAAAACTGAATGAGAAATAAAACGAAATAAAAAAAAAATACAAAATACTCGTAAAAGTTTCATTTTTACTAAAATACAAACTATTGTATGACAGAAATAAAGAGAATCAAATTCCATGTGTTCCATTATTCAGATAAAACAGTTGAAAATTCAGAAACAGGATTTTTCTTTCGGTAAATACAGATAGGAATTCACAAATGTAGCAACTGGAAGAAATATTTATTTCAAATGATCGTGTTTGGTATCATTTCCATTCGAATAAAATTTTCATTACAATAAATATTTCGTAAATTAAAAAATATAAAAAAAAATTTTTCTCTTATTTTGATGATTCATCGCCAAATAAAACCAAATTTTATTATTTTAGATTATATTATTTTCCAAATAATCTAATAACGGAATTGTCTTGGTCTTTGAAGAAGCATCGAATGGAATTCAATAAAATAATTCAATAAAATCGCGTTTCGATTATTCATTATGCTCAATGACTATTTTTCTCACTTTTCCTGAGGCGAGAAATAATTTCATCAATAGTTGACGAAATTTTCACGGATTCAAGGATAGTACAAGCGATTTAATCCAATAAAGGTTTTTCAGAGTTAAACAAATTGTCGACCAGATAATTCCGACAATAAGACACGAATTCATAGAGTACGTGAAAAGATTTTTTACGAACCATCTTCGAGGACCATTTTTAAAAGTAATTTGGAAGAGATAGACCTGACTTTAAATTACAATGAGGAATGAATTACAATTATCCTTGGATCTTTTTTGAAAAGGTGAAAAAGAATCAGTGCGCTCTCTTTCTCGAATTTGTTATTCAAATTCTTGTGGCGTAAAAAATTTGCACTAGCGAACTCGTGAAATATCGATACGTACGGAATTTTTGAAGGGCTTGGAATTTGAAATAAACCATGAAAATTCCTTTTTTTCTTTCATAGAAAAATTATTGAGGATTGGTATTTGTGAAATAATTTCATTTCAATGCATAATACTTTTAGTTTATATCTGATAGATAAGAGTGTCAAACAAAAAGATTAAGATAGGCATGATCAAATAAATAAAATAAATTGGTAATAGATTGTATTACAAGTGACATAGAACAGTGATTACTCATAATACAATAAGACAATTATTGGTGAAAAAAAAAAAAATAAGAGAATCACTTGTCAGGCAAGCAGAATCACGGTAAGACAACCGTGATTACACAAGTAATATAGATCGGCCATTAGTAAAAGAGTAAATGGGTCAGAAAAGCAGAATAGGGTACTCATGAACAGACAAAGAGAAAAGAATGACCACGAGTCGGACGAGTAGATTAAAATGATGATGGTCGAACAAATCGAATAACAAAACGATTGAAATATTTTTCGATATTTTGAACGATGAATAAATATAAATATAAATTGAAAAAAAAATTGTTTTCAGTTTTTATAAAATCGTCTCTATGTAAGCAAATATATTTTTTCATTTGTAGTAAAGCTGTCTAAAAATAAAAAGAATAGCATTCCAACTGTAATGAAGATAAAAAAAATCAAAGTTGATTTTTTTACCATTAGCTTTGATATTCAATTTAGGATTTTATGTAAAAATTTTTGAATAATAATATTTTTCCTCTTCACGAAATATCTTGTTTATTTTAATTTTTTGATACAACAGGTTTTTTTAGTGAAAGGAAAAATTCATTCGAATATGTCGGTAAAAAGAATGAAAAAGTTTAACCCAGGTTAACAGCCTTAGCTGTGATAAAGACGAAATTGAACGTTCGTAGATAGACATCATAAAACGACATCAATGTGGTCTTTTTTATAACTTATTTATTAAAACACGTGGGAATTAAAGTTTATTAAAAAGTACCGAGAGAGATTGAAATCCTTTACATTCATCTCTTACTCTCAACAAAAAATAATTCTCTCTTTTCGTTTCATTTGTCTCGTTATAATCAGGTTAAATCACTGCTATTGAATTATTGTATTTGTGCTGTAAAATACAGGCTGACCCATTTTAACTTATAAATAATGCGTAGGAACACGAAGGCAAAGAGATTGACGAACGTAGATGCCAAGGCTATTTTCAGATCATTTGTTTTTCATTTCAAAGTGGCATTTATTATCTCTTTTAAATATTTACGATGATCGATCATGTAAATAAAATTAGGGAAATGAAATTGATTTAACCTTCTTTCTACTGATTTTTACTGAAAAATCATATTAATAATTTATTGTTTAATAAGGAGACAAGATAATTTTATATTATATATTATATATTATTATTTATATATTATTATATATTATTTTATATTATATATTATATATTAAAAAGTATATTTTTTAAAGCAAAATTTTTTACAAAATGAAAAAATCTAAAAATATCCTAGAGTGTTGTTATTACCTAAAATATCTCAACTTCAATGTACATGATCGATGGTTATAAGTGAATTTATATACAAATTGTAGCAGATTGATATACTAACGATATTAACAAAGAATTTGGGTTTGAGAAGAACTCTTGAAAATCAATAAAAGCCATTTTAGAAGCACTTCCACTTGAAAAGAATCACTGAAATAAATTAATTAAATTAAAAAATGCCATGATTTCTCTGTCTCAATTAAAATTATATCCAAATTAAATATAGTATTGAAAATATTTTCAAAAATATTTTGATACATTACCAGAATATGTAATTATGGCTTGAATGCTCATAATCTCAACATATAATAATCTCAATAATCTCAAATATAATCAAAGAATTTGCTTTTATGAATTATTTAAATTTGAATCACTAATGAAGAATATAAATTTTATTTACAAAATAAATCTTCTTTTTATTTCATGTAATTATTATTTTAAACTTTGATAGGAACAAAAAAAAATAAATTTTATTTAAGTGAATCCTAATCTCTTTAAAAAAGATTTCATGATATGTATTGATATGATATATATGATTATATAATCATGATATAATATATATAATTATATATAAATATATTGCAAATATTTTTCTTGTTTTACATAATTATCTTACTTTCATAGAAGTAAAAATTTTGTACAAGTATCGGAAGAAAGATTTAAATGAATCCTAACCTTTCTAAAGAATCGCACGTACATTTTCTTATTAATTTTTTCATTCAGCAACAATTATTCACAATAATTATCACATATACATATATTTAAAAAAAAAATAAAGTTTTTTCTCATATATTTGAACATAATTTCGGAAATAAAATAATAAATCAAACTTTTTCGTTGATCCAATTCAAATTATACTTTTCACATGGATAATGTAATCATTGATAATTTCTCTTTACGATCGATATCAAATCAATTTTATAAAATTATACACACGTGATGTATGCTAAATTACAAGATTGTTTCCAGTTTCATTTCATTCACGTATCCATCATGGATATCGAATATTCCATGGACAACGATGAACGTAAACGAAGACCGCGTTAAATCGCTTCGAAAATTAGGTCATAGCGACATTTCCGCATCCCGATGTTTTCAGACGAAATTATCGAGCTTCTAACGACCGAGTTGATTTAACGATCAGCTTGGAACCGCACGAAAATTAGTTTACACGCTGGAAAATCGAAATTGAACATCTCATTTCGAGATGTTTATATTTTCTTTCACTTCTTTTGCTTTCTATATAATTATACGTATAAATTACATCCTTTGAAAGAATCTTTAATTAGAACTTTTATAGATAGAACACTTAGTAATAAATTAGAGAGTCTGTAATTTTGTTATTGGATATATTTAAAATTCTAGGGAATTTGAGTCACAAGTCAGTGAATTCGAGTTCAACTAATTTCAAGCTTGAATAACTATTATGTTGAAAATAAACTTAGCTTCGAATAATCAGAGACAGGCTATAATGTTTGTCTTTTGTTGGTTCGGTTTACGTTTTTGAATTTTTCAAATTGAATTTTAAGTTTTTAATATGTTCAATGCAAATGTCATGACATATGCGTCATGAGAATCTCCTATTCTATGGTGGTTGACGCGTATGTCATAAATTTTTTCAATAAATATTGTGAAAAAATATGAAAATAATGAAAATAGTTTTCCACATATCCAGTTTTTCTTTTATGCTTTTTATGCAAATGTTGTTATCAGTATTATAACCATTTTGTTGGATTTCGTTGTACTTCTCATCGTTTTATAATTGTGTTGTGCACTTATCAAAAACCAATATTAGAAATTTCCTTCAATTTTTGGCACCGAATTTTTAAATAGTAATAAAATTTATTTTATTTTATTTTAAAAATTATTTTATATTTTTATCTTTTTTTCTTTGATTTTTTTAATATTTTGTCAAAAATGCTGTAAAAAATGAAATGGAAATTTTTCTAACCTTTAAGTATTTCATTCATTTCATATGAAAAATACTGTTAAAAGAATTTTAAATAAAATGCTCAAGTTTTTTCAGTTAATACTCTTTTTCATTTTTCACAGAAATAGAAAATTCAAAGGTGTGTCCAATACGTGTCCAATATCAGTTGAGGTTTCGTTTAGCTTTACTGTTTATTATATTTTGTATCAGTCGCTTTATAAAGTTCGAAAAATGTTTTCTTCGTTGACTGGATCTAAATATCTACTCATGAAACCTATTTTATATGTGATCACGTATTTCATCACTAACCAAGCCACGTTTCTCTTAATTCCCTGAGTATTACTTAGAGAAACGTGGCGTATCTGTACGAACATAAAGAGTAAAGTTCTACTCGAATAATCTTAACTATTCTAATTATTATCCATTTCCTGATTTAATTTAAATTCGTTTTTTATTTATTTTTCAAATATTGTTGTAAATTTGTAATTAGATGAATATTTTCTCTCGAAATATAATTTAATAAAAATGTAATTTCTATAAATATATTCGATAATCATTATCAATTAATCAATTTAATATTCATTATTGTTAAATTTATTATTGGTTGTATAAATAATCTTTAAAACTTGATTAAAAAGTATTTTAGAATTATTTTAGAAGTATTTTAGAATAAAAATATATAATAAAAATTTTTATTTATTGATTGAAATTTTTATATATATAATAGTGAAACTGAATTGTTCAAATAGAACTTTTTAATTATAAAATTGAACACTACAGTTCTAATTATATTCATTCAAATACAATAAATATTATAAATTCCAACAAATATCTTCATTTATTATCGTTCTATAAAGTCATGTAAGTGCAACAAATAATTATCACTAACATTCATGACACATGGAAATGTAAAATTGAAATTTATAAAGGAAACCTATGAGCAAGTTCACTTTGAGAAAATTAACCATGTTTGCCATTTGCGGTTCACCTCTGTATCGTATTAAATTAATGACGGTCTACTACTAACCACTGTTTCGGTTTGACAATAATTATTCTGTTAGTCTTTAATTATGCGGCCATTTAAGTAACACGCTGTTACGCATTTATCCACGCACAAGAAAACATTATTTGCATTCAATCGGAAATGATTCGTCTTTGGAAGTCGAATTTTTATGATTTAATAAGAATGCAAATATAATGTTTGTTAAGAGAATATATAATGTAAAAGATAGAAAGTACTATTGTTATAAGTAAAATTAAAAAATTGGATAAATTTTTTTGGAAATTTCAATTCCAGTATTAATTTAAATAATTTTTTCCACTTCGTTTTCACGTTTAAATATTCCACAAGAGCATAATTCATAATGATTTGAATCAATTTAATTAAACTAGATGCGTGAGCTTAATTAGTACCTTTGTACGGAACTTCCCTGTAAATTAAGTCAAGATTACACGAGGGAAATACGCTTTGAATTAAGAAGAGGAGTAGAGAAAAGGATTTTGGGTCAAGAAGTATGGAAATAAAGAAAAAAATAGACTTTTTAATTTTCAATTTCTTTTCATTCCAAATTCTTTTCATCGATAATGATTTTAACGCGAATTTACGAGAACGTGTAAAAAAATAAGAAACTCATTCCTTTCCGGTTACTCTATAAAGAAAATAAAATTGATTTAAAAAATTTTAACATTAAATTCATTATGATTCATTTATGATATTCTTTTTTTAATTTTTCTCTTTCTTTGCTTCGAAATATTTTTATTTCTTGAATAATAGTCTATGTATCGTTAATAAATATTATTTCCTCTCTTTGTCTTATTTTCATCTTTGCGGTATAATATAATCGTAAAAAGGAAAACGAAGTTTTTATTGTTCAAAGAAAGCAAGAGAAAAAGAATTCTTAAGAGATTGTAAAAGGGTATGGGAGAGGCATTTGAGAAAACTTACAAATAGAAAGAACGGGAGAAATAAAATTAGATGATAGAAATAGATTCGAAAAAGGAGAAATGAAAAAGCCAGAATTACAAACAAGATTACAATTCTTATAAAGGAGATATTCGATTCATTTCGAACAGTGAAATTTTTCATGGGATTCATGACGAAATGGTATTCGAAATGGTAACAGAATGGATGAATATTTAATTGCAAATGATAAATAAAGTAATAGATAAAAATAAAAAATAGAAAAGTAGTAAAAAATATGGAATATTTGTTTTGAAAATAATACAAATAAAATGATAAAACAATATAAAAATGGAAAAGAGATCATAATATCATAAATATCAGTAATGTTAAAATCTGAAATAAAAATTTATTTCAAACATGAAAAATTATTTTAAAATATAAGAAAAATAAGAAAATAAGAAATAAATAAGAAAAATTATTTTTTAAAATATAAACAATTATATAATTGTATAAAAAAATTATATAATAATTACATAATATAATACAATATTAATAAAAAATAAGATAGAAAATATAAAAAAATTCGTTAATAAATGCGATATAAAGAATCAAATCATTCTTTATAATTTTTTGTATTGAACTCCTCCTTTTACAGTATTCTATCTTTTTAATATAAATCCATTCTCGATTTTTATTAGATATAGAAAATTATTACGCATTATGAAGCAACAAGTAAATTGATTTATGTAAAACGTGTGCATTTACCTTCGATTCATTTAACTTTACTTTCTAACAATTTCCATGTTTAAATATTATGAACAATAAAGTGCATTGCTTTGACGCATTTTAATGAAACTCGTCCCATCCTGGAATTATGAAAATTTGATATGAATTTTCTGGATAATGAGCCCCACTATATCGTCTGTCATTAGCTTTTGTAGCACATGCATTTAATGTACTTTTATTCTATTTAATAAACGAACCTTCTGATTTGACTAATTAGATTGTTGAAATATCTTCTTTTTATTTCTTTTCTTTTTCGAAAAATATTACTTTAGTGATTTTAATTTGCGAAAAATTTTCAAAATAATCGAAAGAAATAAGAAAAAATAACTGAGATGATGTAAATAAAAAAAAATATATAAATAAATCACAAGAATAATGTATTACCAAAAATTAATAGTCAAATGTTTATCTTAGATGTGAATTTCCTGTCAACAACATTGAAACAAAATATATCATTGGGCGGATGCAATCAGCCAAACTATCACTGTCAAAAGAAAAATTCCGTTCACTACAGGATGTAGACTTTGTTTCATGCAATTTATAACTAGTGTCCTTTTTTCGCGTTGACAAGGATATTTTTCACGCGAATTTTTTCATTTTCGTTCTCGCTCTCTTTCTTTTTTTTCGCTAAGAAAAAGGAATAAGATCATGATTGATGAATTTTATATGAAGAGTCGAAATGTATCTCATTAGCAAAAACATATTACATTTTGACAAATATAAAAAAATGATTAATTGAATTCTTTGTTAATTGTTAATTGAATTCTGAAATAAAAAGTAATTCGTTGATCTTTTATTGAATTGATGCTTATGATAGCAAAAGAATATGCGATAATGACAAAGGCATAAAAAGTTAGGTTAGAAAAGTTAAATACATATAACGATAAAATTTAATACGTTAATTTCAGTTCATCATTATATTATCATTATATTTTTCCTTCAAAAAAAAGAAAAATTTATAAAAAAAAAAAGTTTTCTTATGGTATTATTTTTTAGTTTTTTTTTTTCAATATAATATATGAATGAAAACATTTTTTTTTCTTTTCGAAAATATTAGATAAATTTCCGATTGATAAAGTTGAAGTATGTAAATATTCAAACATCAAATTTCAATTGAATGTGTAGATCATAAGCTTTAATAATCAATAAATAAATCAAAATTATAATAAAAGTAACACATATATTTATTTACTATTTATATTAATATATATTTTTTATAACATGTTTTTTTTTAAATATTTTTTGCTACTATAGATACTCTATCACTCAAACAATATAACCTCAAAACAATTTATGCCATATCTCAACCAACCTGTCCTTATTATATTTTATTCTCACACTTTATTTTTTCCTAAAAGCTTGAAATTTCTTGAAATTTTATGCCAGCATTTTTCCATTTCGAATGTCAATCCTATATGTTTGTATTATTGACTCTTGTTAACAATTATACTGATTGTGAGTCCAATTATAATGAATGTCAACTTCAATTAATTTGTATGGTATTTTACGAATGATATTTTACGAACGAAACGAAAAGAATTCTAATATATTTAGTTCACGTATAAGCCACGAAAGCGCCACGATTATTCTGAATCCATGCCACTTGTCGTTCTACTTGTCGATGAAACGGTGTAAGATTCGAAAATGGTCGGCCATGAATAGGATGATACCGTCGGGAATTCGTTTCCGATACGAGGCTCGCAATTGCTTTCGAACAAATCGGATCGATGTTGAGTATATCATTCTGTGGAAGATATCATGTCTTGAATAGAGAAAATTTATTTTGAGTAAGTAATACTTCAAGAATAATTCGTTAACTATTTTGAAAATGACAGATTTATGTAGAAAATTAAAGTTTTTCATTTATATTCAAAATTTTATAATTCATTTGAAAATTTCTAATTTTATGTATAATTATAAATTAAAATAAAATTTTATAATTATAATATATATTTTATTAATTATGTAGATATAACATTAATATTTATTTTTTATATTTTAATTGATTTTTTAAATTTTATATTATACATAATAAATGATTCTTTATGAGTTAATTTTATTAAAAAATCCATCATAAATTAATTTACATAAGAATATTCCCTTTAATTTTTCATATATAATAAAAATTTTTCATGCATTTTCATTTTCATAGTCTATTGTATTTCATTTTTATATTATATTTCATTTGGCTACAGAAACCATATATTAGAAACCATAGTATTGTTATATTATCAAATTTTTATTTGATTTTATTTGATTTTATTTTATTTCATCATAAAAAAATTTAAAAATTTAAAATTAAAAATTATTTTTCAGTCTTTTGCAGATGACTTTCAACTAAATTTTTATCTCATTAGCAAAAACATATTACATTTTGACAAATATAAAAAAAAGATTAAAAAAAAAATTTATTATAAAAATAATCAATTACATGTCCGTTCAAAATCGATTTATTACGGATCGGATCGGATATTAACTGTATCGAAAACAATCGATTTCATTTTTATCGCGTAATTTCTAACCTTAGTTTTTTGTCTTCTTTCTTCTCGATTTGAACCAAAATCATGGGGAATACGTGTTTCCAAATATATTATTATTTAATTCTTGCAAATTGTCTACTTTAATGGATTACTAAGGAATTGTTGTCTTCATTATATAGAAAATGAAAAGTAAGTAATTTAGAAAGTGGGAAAAGTTAGAAAGTATTATAAGTATAAGAGATATTCTGCAACATTCATATATTTGCAAATCAGTTATTTCTATAATGCGATTCTTAAGAAAATTTTTATCAATTTTTATTGTAAAATTAAATTTTTTTTTAAATCGTTTAACAATTAAATCAATCTGTAAATTGATATATTGAAGAATTAGGAAAATATAACAATATAATAGATAGAGTTTAAAATTTAAATATTTTAATTTCGTTTTGATGAGTTTTTTTATAATTTTTTTATGTATTATGTTATCTGAATTTTAATAATAAAATTTTTTATTATTATTGTTTATTATATCCTATATAATTTTAACTTTCAATTAATATTGTATCGTACATGATGTTCAATAGTTAGGTTAGATTTGAATTATATTATTTTATCTTTTCAAGAAATCTTTAATAATTATCTTTTTGTAATCTTTAGTGAATTTATCGCTAGAAAAGTTGCAAAATGATGTAAAGAAAACTCAAATACCATTCTATTTCATTTATCATTTATATTTACAGCATCATGTGATATCGTACTGTCATAAACAAAATTTCATATGCCATGTGAAAACAGAATCTGCAACCATATACAGTTTGTATTTGTGTATTTTTGACGACGATACACGACCAGTGCGCAGAAGATAATTAACGTATACACGTGGTTCGTGAAAATTTATGATTGTGGTTGATATCATGGAATCAGATAGTGTAATATTAATATTTGATGTGTGGAAAAAATACAAAAATAATGATTGAGACATTTTTCTATTTCAAGTATATTTTTGTGTTTTGTTTTAATTTTTATCAAAATTAAAATTAATTTTTTTCTTGAAAATCTTTTAAAAGTATAATCAAAATTATCTTATAATACGAAAAATTATTGGAAATTACATTTGTTGAATTTTTAAAAATATTTTTAATTACATTATTATTATAAAATAATACTTCAAAAAATAAATTTCGAGTAGCTTTATGTCAAAAAATTTATTTAAAAAAACTAAAATAATTTCTACATCGTCGATTGACATTATGTTATGCGATTAATACCATGTTTTGATATTTTTACAATTATTGAACTGCCAGTTAATAGGATTTTGTGTAATTTTCAATTTAAGTCACCTATCATTTATATTATATTGCATTGAAAATATCAATAGAAATATTAAGCAAAAATTTAAAAACATCCACGCAGTAAACATGTTAAAGAATATAAATTTTTTTTATTTTTATTATATTATATTTTTATCTTATCGGTATTCAGGAAACGATTTTTATACGATTTTCAGAATTTCGAATAAAAATCTAACGTCTACTACAACTCTTATTTTCTCTATTAAAACATTTTATATATTTTTTTAATCGTATTTTATAATAATTTTTCAATAATTTTTCATTTCATCCAAGGTTTTATAAAGTTTGTTGTAAACACCACGTTTTAAAGGCACTGTACCATAGTATCAAAATGATAAATGGTGTAATAGCTCCCATTAATTATCATCCTTGGCACTAACTCTCTGAAATAGGAAACAATACGGTCATCAAACTCGGTCTATTAACAGGAGGACGAGCCACGAGAAGTTACTCCACCATGAACGACAAAATTAGCGATAGTTTGGTTAGACAAACTCAAATATGGGTGATATCTGTGATATCGTACAACAGTTAGGGTGCGATAATTAACAGGAGTATAAACACAATTTATGATCAATAGAGCAAACGTTGTCGAAAGTTCATTCGTGAAGATTTTGATAAAGAATTTCTTGGAATTTCTTGATAAAATTTCTCTCTGTGTAATTTTCAATTCGATATCTCATTTTGAATAATTTCGTCGTAAAAGATGAGATGACGAAAAAGAAAATTTATATTTAAACAAAAATTCTTAGATCGTGAAATTTATATTAATAAATTTATAAAAAATTGTTGTATTTAAACAAAATGAATTCTTTAAATATAATAATGAATTTTAACGAAATTTTATTTGTATTTGGTAAAATATTTTGGTGATCAATCTCTTGTTTTATCATATCTCGAAATAGATTTTTAATAAAAAATTGAGAATAAAATTTGTATCATAAAATTTTAAAAGCTACTTATCGCAAATTTTATTACAATTTCTTTCTACGAAAGTGTCGACAATTATGAATATTTTTCCTCTTTAAAATTTTATTTTTTATTGTTTCATTTATAAATGAACGAAATAATAATTCAATATTTCTTGATTGAATTATAAGATAAATTAAAAATCTTATTGTATTCCTCTTAATAAGATTATAATAATGTAAAAGAAAATATTTTAAAAGAAATATTTATCATTATTATATCAAAGTTTTCAATCTTATTCGATTTTCTTCGTTAAATCTAAACAAAGACTTATTCGAATAATAATCATTATGAACGAGAAGAAACCATGATTTCATGTAATAACTCGCTTTTGACCTCGCTTTTTTTTTTACAATAAAACGATCCGCTATTGAAATTGTAACGAAAAGCTTGCGTGTTCTTCTTCCCTTATTTATTCGATTTTATCGAGAAATAAATTGTTTCATCCCTTTGAAAATGTTTGCACTAATAGTATATAAATTCATTCGCCGACTTTACACCAATATTTCTCAATAAGATCGTGAAATATCCAGCTTTTGTTAAAGCATATTCACACGATATTTTATCGCAGAGAAAGCATAGAAACACCGTTGATCGTTTTACGATCAAAATTTTACGATCAGAATTAGCGAGAATGTAATACGAAACCGATACACCGAACTTTTCTCGTAAATACCAAATTTGTTCGAGCTTTGTACTCTTTTTCTTTTTTTTTTTTAAGGAATAATATTATTAGTAATATATAATAGGATAATAGTAATCGTGATTGTAATCAAGATATTGATTTGTCTTTAAGCATGATTGATATCTTGATAGCTTGTTCATTTTTATATATTTGCTAATTATTAATAAAATCTACAATTATATCATCTGATGTAATTAATACGATAATTAATTTCAATTTAACTTGGATTTATTGAAATGTTCTTTTTTTTTTTAAATTCTTGAAATGAATATTCCTAAATGAAATGTTTCGAGTGTTAAATTATTTTATGATTTATTTTATCGAATCGTATCATCGTTGAATTTATACTATACCGTTGCATATAAATACTTCAGAGATTATTCTTGAATTATTTTTGATTATTTTGTATAAATAAATGAAAATTACATAAAAATTTCTTCGAAAAAATTGACAATTCATATATAATAAAATATTTTTAAATAATTTGTAAAATATTCTGTGAAAATCTAGGAGCAAGTAATTCATGAACAAAACAATTATTACGAAAAGAGTTCGTGTCTCAAAAATTAATCTTTAGCCACATTTTGCCGTACCTCTACGTTAACTCTTTTTACGTTTATCAATCTACAGTCTATTCCCTAGAAAATTACCAAAAAAAAAAAAAAAAATAATAACCATAATAAAATAACATAAATCGCATGAAAATCTTAGAGTTGAAAAATTGCACTGTCGAAGGAAACTTTTCTCGCGATGAATCTCTCCACATCTTTCCATCGTTCCTTATTCGACTCAAGGAAGGAACTTTGAATCGACGATTCGACTTCAAACTGGTGTTAATTCCAGCCAGGAAATGACCGTAGACGGAAATTAAAAGTTAATTTTGCGAGAGTGAAAGAAGAAGGAATATCGGGTTTGTTACTTAAGAAAGTTGACATTTTTTAAGAAAAATAAACAGATTTCAGATTTATCGATATACGATTCTAATACGAACAATTTATAAACCTCGAGATTTAACG